AATACCAGACCGGTTTTCGACAAGGCAGGTCGACAATAGATCAGCTTTTTACAGTAAAGCAAATCCTTAATAAAGCTTGGGAACACGATATTGATGTTCACAATATATTTGTCGACTTCAAACAGGCTTATGACTCCATAAATAGAAGCCGGTTATATAACATCATGGAAAGCTTCAATATTCCCTCGAAATATATCCGACTAGTAAAAGCAACGATGGACTCCACAATAGCAACTGTACGCATACAGTACGAATTAACTGACAGCTTCGAAATAGTTCAAGGGCTGAAACAAGGTGATGGACTAGCTCCAACACTGTTCAATCTGGCCCTTGAATATGTCATCAGAAAGCTGAATGTCGGAAGGGCCAATCTCCTAACAAACAAATCTGTCCAGCTCGCCGCATATGCGGATGACATTAACCTCATGTCCCGCAGAGTGGATGATGCAGCAGAAACATATTCGCAGCTGAAAAAAACGGCCAAGGAGATTGGACTTGAAATAAATACACAGAAGACAAAAATACTAACACAGACGTGGACAAAGCGAACAAAGCGAACAAAGTAGAGGATGACATTGAAACAGTGAAGAGTTTTACTTATCTGGGAGTCGAAATGAATACGGAGGGAACAGAAGAGGCCGAAATTCAGAAGAGAATAATGAAGGGAAATAAAGCCTATTTTTCCCTGATTAACATATTCCGCTCCAAGACGGTACATCGAAAATCGAAACTTAAGGTCTATAAAACTATCATCAGACCGATAGTATGCTATGGATGCGAGACATGGGTTTTGACAGAAAGCACTAAACGAAGATTAGAGGTTTTCGAGAGAAAAATCCTAAGGAAGATCTTTGGACCCATCACTCAAAATGGGATGTGGAGATCTAGATATAACCATGAACTCTACCAACTGTTCAAAGAAGCACCTATTGCAGAGTTCGCTAGAGTACAAAGGCTTCGATAGGCTGGTCATGTGGTACGGATGGATGCCGACAGATTGCCGAGAAAGGCCTTGGATGGTAAAATGCAGGGCAGAAGACCAAAGGGAAGACCACGTAATAGATGGGAGAACGAAGTCACAGCAGATGCGCACAACTTATTCAACGTCAGAGCTTGGAGACGAGTGGCGCAGGATCGCCTTTGTTGGAGGCAGAAGTTACAGGAGGCCAAGGCTCAATTTGGGCTGTAGCGCCATTGGAAGAAGAAGAAGAAGAAAGGTGCCTGTGTGAGGTAGATAGTTACCCATTGAGCGCCTCCCCACCTAGCGGATATCCCATAATTTTTCAATATTATTACACCTTCGCTTTGTCTACTATACTGCCCTACTAAGCGAAAAGGAGGCATCTACTAGGACGATCTAGTTTTGGAATCTAGATCATCAGCACCAATTTATGTTGTCCAGTATCAGCCAGACAAACATAAAACGTAAAACTTAAAGTTAGTTTGTAAACCTTTTTCTTACAACTCTAGAATTTCACAAAAATAATGATAAAATTCCATAGAGGTTTTGTAAAGCTTCGAATTCTTGATTACTCTCTCCAAAACCGCATACAAATTTCGGAAGTCTACGTCATAATAAATTGGACCATACAGTTATTCTTCTTCTTTAAGTTCCATCTTCTATCGAAGGTTGGAAATCATCATGGCTATGCGGACTCTGTTGACTGCCGCTCTAAAAAGTTCTGCACTACTGCATTCAAATCATTCCCTTAAGTTCTTAAGCCAGGATATTCTTCGTCTTCCCACATTTCGCTTTCCTCGGATTTTGCCCTGCATAATAAGTTGTAATAATGCGTATTTTTGCCCTCTCATCACATGTCCCAAGTACTCAAGTTTTCGTCTTTTAATAGTTAATATTATTTCCGCCTCATTTCCTATCCTTCTAGTTACTTCCATGTTTGACATTCTTTGAATCCATGATATTCGTAGGATTCTTCTGTAACACCAAAATTCAAAGGCGGCCAGCTTATTCAGATGAACTTGTTTTAGTGTCCAAGCTTCCAGACCATAAAGAAGTGTAGAGAACACGTAACATCGAAGCATTCTCAGGCGTAGTTCTAACCTTATATCCCGACAACAAAGAAACTTTTTAAGTTTAATAAATGATGTACGTGCTATTTCAATACGTGTCTTAATTTCTTTGTTTCAATACAGTTATAGAACAGCATAATATAGAATCTGTCAGATCATCGACATCTACTTATCGCAGGGAACATGCACCCAAGCGATGTAGACAGGGCGGCATTCGCCGTGTCGGCGTTAAAAGCGGTCTCTCGTCTATGATACTATGATACAGACGAGCCGTCATTTGTCAGCTCGCCGCGTCGGGCGCCGCGCGGCCTATGCTGAGTACCATGCGCTGTCAGCGGTGTTATGCCTTCTTCCGGCACGTCAGTAATATATATTTCGTGCTTCAACACCGACGTGTGACTGTTTTGCAACGATTTTATTTGATTACTTTTGTGAGTGGTTGCCAAATTTTGTATATATTATGGAAGCTATAGACATCGATAAATTAATTACCGAAATTCACACACGGCCAGCAATTTGGGATATGCGCTTAGATAATTAATCGAATATAATAAAGAAAAAACAAACTTGGAAAGAGGTTACCCACAGTTTTATTTCGGAAGATGCTTTTCTGGGCCATCTTCAATTTCGTTAACTAACATGTAAAACGTTCCTTTATTTTTTTTATTCATTTACTATAGGATGTATCAAATACCTGAGTTTCTTCTTCTTTGATTTAATATGCAGCAAACTTATTAGCACTTATTACTTATTAGTAAGTAACACTTAACAGGAAAAACAAATCGTAGTCACTTTCATTTGTAGAGACATCATTATACCATTCTACGTCCAAAACTCAACTAAGTTTGAGCGAATACAATGGCAAAACTACTGCCACTGTTAAACCGCCTAATGTGTTTAGAACCGCGCGGCATCCGACGAGGCGCAGAAGTCGCACAAACCGCCCTGTCTGTGTTTAACCCAAAGATATGTTTAGCCATTTCCAAATAAAGAATCCTAAAATAACTTGTTCTTATGATTTATACCCCTCAATAGTACAAAGGTTAAATAAATCTTTTGTAACGATGGGTTCCGAATAATGCGAAATGTGTGAACATTTTAAAATTCATCTACACTATGAAGAAAATTTATAAAATGATTGTACCGAATGCCAGAGGTGGTCCAATCATATATAAAAGAGTAAAGATGCACGTCTACTGTAAAAAGAATATGCCAACAAGAAACCAGAGAAAGGAGAAGTTATATATTCCGTTGATTTGGAAAAAGTAATAATGCTACCCCGATGCGACATGTTTAAATCCGTTATATTTACTCAAATATTGAATGCGTATAACGAAAGATTCGTTCCGGTAGTGACTAAAAACAAAAACAATAAACCTGTATCTGCAATTTGGCACGAGGCAATTCAAGACACAAAAAAAAAAGAGAATATAATAAGTACCTATCGCAAATTCTTATTATTGCAGAGAGATGCAAAAATAATTGTTCTGTGGGTAGATAATTGTACTTCCAAAAATAAAAACTGGGCGTTTTTTTCGTTTTTAGTTTATGTAATAAACTCATTTGATATTTCTGCCGAAGTAATAGAAATAAATTACTTCGAACCAGGTCACACTTTTATAAGTGCGACTTATTCCGCCATCAAGTAGAAAATACTTCACGAAAAACTAAGAAAGTTTACGACTTTCCTGATTTCCAAAAAGCTGTTCTACAAACTAATTCTGGGAGGGTTACAGAATTGGAAATAGAACTACGTGATTTCTATGACTGGCAGGACTTTTCATCCGCTTTTAAACTTAAAAAAGCACATTGTAAGCGACCACATATTCAAGATATTGTTCAAATCACAGCCCACCGGGAATCAATGTCACTAAATTTATAAAAACAATTTTAGTGGCTCTGATCTGACATTAAATTTTTTGAATGCCAAAATTACAAAGACTGAAATAATACCAGTTCCAAAAACAAAAAAAACCAAGAGTTATCACAGAAGAAAGACGAAATAATATTATCTCAAAGCTCATAGAAGCCGACAATGCCATCATGCGAAAAAATCGTTTAAATTTTTGGAAAGAAATCCCTACCACTCAGTGCCTTGAACAAATTAATGATGATGATTGATAATTAATTTAGTGTCTGAGTTATTTTGTAGAAATTAGTTTGTTATGAGCGTAGGCGCAAAATTTCTAGCCAATGCTTTTTAAATGCATTCATTTTTTTCGAATCCTGAGAAAACTAACAAAAAGTTTTTTTGAATGAGATATTTGAAATTAAAAATCACACTAAATTTTCTCTTTTTTTTTCACCCCTGTAACTTATTAAAATAAACATTAAAGAAGTTTTCAGGGACTTTCGGCCCTCGGAAACAATCTATTCTTTCATTCTGCGTTTAAATTTTTCAAAAATATTTATTAGTTTTCTAAGGATTCGAAAAAAATGAATGCATTTAAAAAGCATTGGCCCGAAATTTTTCGCCTACGCTCTTAACCAAATCATTTAGAAATAAATGTGTATATGTAGATACTGTGTTTTTATCTTAGTACCTAACCTGTAATCGTTTCTTAATAATAGGGGTAACTACAATTTTTTTAGTAAACAATATTAATAGCCAAATTTTATTATTTCTACCAAAAAAAAAACGAAAAATACTATTTATATTTTCAATTTAACTTAAATATGGTACACAAAATAACAATGCGAATAAGCGAAATCTAAATACTTTCTTAACTCAAAACAGTATACATTACATATACCCCTTTTCACTTAGTAGGGCAGTATACTAGATATGCATAGGAAGGAATTAGTTAGAAATTCGTTAGATAAAATCTATATAACATGTTTCGCTTTCTACTTTTAAATACATATACTCTGTTTTTTACTATACTCGTGAAAGGGGAAAGTCAAGATGTATTCTGGTTGTAAAGTAACACCCTAAAAATATATTCACTAAACATAAATATTAAGCTTACCTGATTTTCGCTACTTAGTAATTTGAGCTGATCGTTGATTAGGCTGTACTTGGCTGACTCTTCTTTCCTTAATGCCCGTTCTTTCTTCAGTTCTGGGCTCCAGAAAGTCTTGATGGAATGCATAGACGATCCCAATTTTTGATTGGTCAGTTCTAGTTCTTTCTTTAGGTTCGCTAGGTCGCGTTGAAGGTCTGAATTTTGGTGCTGAAGTTCTCCGATGAAGGGCTGGTGGGAGGTTGGAGATTGACGGGCGGATCTGGAAATAAAACTACTACAATGTTAGGACAATAGAAACGAATAATTACTATAGAGACTTATCACTAATTAAAAACATTTATAATATACAGCATATATATCAAAATCTCAGAAATATTTAGCGTAGGTTATGTAAGGAAACAATATTTTATAATAATTAGTCATAGAAACTTGAGAGCTATAACTTACTAATAATTATTGATATAAGGTAAATATGCACATAAGTTTTTTATAGCTACTTTTATTTATAATCTACATCATTACAGAGTAATAAGTACATGTGTTACTTGTTTTTGGGCATGACGGAGACCCACCAATGATGACTCCACTTTTTCTATTTTGGTTTAGTTTTGAACTAGGTATTAGGGTCAGATTCTATCTAGTCTCCTTGTAGTTGGATGAATAATTCCCTGACTGTCTCGTTTTCGTGGTAAATGGTATGTTTATTTCTTGATACCGTGGCTCGATGAATTTCTTTTCTGATGAAAGGAATCTTAAAGTTCTAGTGAAGTGTTGGATTACTTTCGTACCATGGTGCATCCACTATTGATATTAGCATTTTATACTAAAATCTTTGGATGATATTCAGCGACGTTGGCTTTGCACAGCCACATAGGTGTAAATCGTAGTATCAGATAGGTTTGAGTATAACTTTGTATAGAAGAGTTGTGTTTTGAATGTTGAGTTTTGATTTACGTCAACGGTGCCAATACCTTTCCTGAAATTTTGAAACGTTTGTTAATTTAGCGTTCGTAACTGTGGGTATTCTTACATTCCCCATTCTTACAGGTATTGTGGCTATTGGTAAAATGTTATTTGAATTGTTTTGTTTTCTTTTTTTTTGTTCGCTATTTTGTATAACAATCACTAAGTATGTCTAGATGATGTTACAGGTTTTGTGAGGCTTGGAAGCGATTGTAGTATTACTATTCTCTGGTATTCACTCCGTGTAGCTGATCAAGTATCGCCCTCTATAGGATATTATATCATCACCGTAAGGCGTAAGATTTACACCAATAAAACATTTAAAAATCTGCAGTAATGAAATTAAAAATTTTTAATTAATTGTAATTATTGTTTTTAAGTTAATTATTTATATACAAATAACAATATCATAGTATTTATGTATTACAAATAGATTTGTTGACAGTTTAATATTTGGATGATAGTCTACTCATTACCAGACTAATATACATTAACAGTAATAGGCTACTGAATGATGTAGTATGATATTGTGTTTATAATCAAAGTGGTAGGTTAAAAACACATTGCATCTTTGATTGATTATATTATTAATAATTAAAGCTTGACTAAAACAAATTAAGAACAAGCATGGGGCACACCATCAGCCAGGTAGTTTGCAAAGCAGCAATATTCAAAAAGAGGTTACGGTGTAGGTAAAAGTTTATGGTCGGTATAGTAGAATTTAACAGGATATCTAACACATACCTATATAAAATCATATTTTCAGCGAATAGACAAAGATAACAATCATATTTCCCCTTGGCTTCCCCTCCACATTCCTCATGCATACTTATTAGTGAACGTCAGATGATTATTTCCAATCCAGCTTATACACCAATTATTATAGATCAGTGGCGCGGTTATATTGCGATTCAAAACTGGATGATGATATTAAAAATGAAAAACTAATTTTTCTTTATATTTTAAGACTAAAAATATAGAATTATTGGCAAATCTTTTGATAAAAAATGGAAATATTTTTAAGCTTTTGAGATGGATGTAAAGATTAGAACTGCCTTTGAAAGAATAAATCATCATTTGGATTTTCATCCAGCTACAGAGCCCAAAGGAATAAAATAATTGAAGCACTGTCTGTGAGAGAAGTCAAAGGGCATAGATTAAATGGTGTTAGTTACTTAATTGAAGCTAGAGTTCAATACGACAAACTTCAGTCAATTCTACTCAAATATTTCAAATATTACATATTTGAATTAAAACATTGAATTGATTCAAAAAATTGGCGATCAGTGGCGCGGTTATATTGCCATTCAAAACTGGATGATGATATTAAAAATGAAACACAAATTGACACAAATACTGGTACAAAATTTCTTAAATCCATGAGAAATTTACAGATTCGCATTTTTATTTGACGAAATTGTAATCTAATTTCCAATAAAACAAGATAATTTTGCAACATCGCCATTCGTCTGTTCTCTTCAATGGTAAACTGCATACGAGACAGAGACTGCAGTGCAAAGATAAAAATTTGATAGGCCGACTGTTTATACAGCAGAAGAACGGATACAAATAATAAAATGGTATATAAAGACGGTACTAGAGTATAAAGACGGTACTAGATTTTTATTTCAATACAGAGCGGCGGCAAGCCGCTTATACGTATTTCGACCTCTTTAGATCTCGTCAGAGCGGTATAGCCACTTCTCTAGATCGAAACAAAATATATTCCCGTCTTAGACCATAGTTATCAAATAACTATATACGGACGTAACTACCCCATCTAATAAGAAAAAAGAGAAATCAAACGATTTCTTCCTGGCGAAATCGAATTCAAATTTTGACCAGTGTGCTTTCTAAAACTTGCAAAGCAAACAGCTTGATAAATAACTCGGCAAGGGAATCGAAGATTGCAATCCACATACCGTTTATCATGGTCAAAATTCGTAGTGAATTCAATTTCTGGTATTCCAAACGGAGTAAAGAAATAAAATATAAAGACGGTACTAGATTTTTGTTTCAACACCAAGCCGCTTATACTTATTTCGACCTCTTTAGATCTCGTCAGAGTGGTATAGCCACCTCTCTGGATTGAAACAAAATCTATTCCCGTCTTAGACAATAGTTATAAAATAACCATATACGGACGTAACGACGCCATCTAATAACAAAAAGAGAAATCAAACGATTTCTACCTGGCGAAATAAAATGGTACTTTGGGGGCAAGTCGGTACAGAAACTTAATTTATTTATTATGGCTTTTAAAAATAGGCCAATACCTATAGAAAAAGTGAATTGGCCATTATTCATCAATTTGAAAAGTTAGGCTGTACTAAAGCTTCAGATGTAAAAAATTCTGCCCATCAAATCACCCTCGCAAAAATAAAATTTCTCAAGAACGAGAAATTAGACAAATTCAAGTTTGTGCATTGGCTGAAGTGACGCCGTGTTCAAGTAAAAAACAGGCCTATGAAGTTGATTTGAATGCAAAAACAGGTAAAAAGAAATATTTTTAAAAGAAACAACTACCATTGTTATAATGACCAGACGATTCAAGAAATATTTCCTGATGATCAATTTAAATGGATGCAATTTTGTCAAATTATGATGGAGAGATGCCATGCAAATAATAATTTTTAAAAAAATATTTTGTTTACACATGAGTCCTCCTTCACTTTATTTTTGGGGGATGCTAAAAACGAAATTGTACATGCATGAGTTCGAGCGAGCCACTAACTTGGAGGAACTCAAGGAAAAGATAATCTAACTAAGCCAAAACATATCGGTAGATGAACTCAACGCCATGAGAATTGCGTTGTATAATAGATTTGGTTACTGTTCGTTACAATTTGGTGGTCTGTTACATTTGAGTACCTAAGAATTTCATTTGGTTTAGAATTTCTAATTGTTTGGAATTATTTTTAATTTAAACAGTAGTGTTGTTATACTATTTTTATTTGTTATATTTTATTCAATATATAATATTTTATAATTAATTAATATTATAATTTTATATAATAAGTTTATTATTTTTAAAGTTATACATATATTAATTAGTACTTTTATACGTATTTTATCTTTTGTTGTCTTATTTTTATAGAACAAATTTTCTATTATCTGGAAAATACCAAATAATATTTTATTTTTAATTAAAAGACGTAATTTTTCGTACAGTTTAAATTTAATATAATACACCTACTCTTTCCTAATGCTTTACTAGTACTGTCTTTATTTATTATGCTTTATGAAAGACTAGACCCATGCAATACGGATTACATACCGAACTAGTTCTGTGCTGATCGTTACCACAGTATTAAAATCAAAATGTCATTACTTTGACGACGCGACGTTGCCAAATAATTTTGTATGAATCTTTTTTATTGGGCGTCATAATGCAGTTTATTCTTTTTATTTTAAATAAGGTACAATGTGACTTTAAAATAAGCTTATTTTAATGTTTAGATTTCCAATTCGGAAGTCGTACTTAAAATACGAAACATTAATAAATTTTATTTATATAAAACGATTTCCGAAGTGGAAATGAAAATGTTAAATTAAACTTATTGTAAAGTATAATTGTGGCATATTCCCAATAAAAAACAGTAATGTGCCATTTAAATCAAATCGCTCAAATTTGAATTTCTTATAACATTGTTCAAATGCTAAAAAGATAACAGGTCAAATAACGTTTGGCAACATTGAACTTTCCTTCTTCTGTTAAATTTATTATTTCCACTATTGTATTTTCGACGATATAAAGGGCGGACCTAATATACCTTCCTCTTTTTAAGCAGGTGTTTCTCACTCCATCTCACGTAAGGTCTATACTGACGATAGATTATTACCCAGGTTATGGTTGAGATGTTTCCGTTACCGCCAAAACAAAGTACAATTAAAAATTTGTTGAAAAAGAAATTAATATTAAAGAACTGGATGCGTCTCAACTGAAAAGTTTACTCAGTGTTGATGAGAATGACGTTTAAAGTATAAAGACTGAGAAGCATGTATTAAAACTTTTTATTTACAATCTTAAGATGTCAATAAAATAATGTAAAGTGAGAAGATATTATTAATATTATATGCTTTGAAACGCTTAACCAATCTAAAAATAAAAAGTTGTTTTATGAAATATATTTGCATATATCAGCCAGTAAAAATGTCCATAATATATCAATTAGAAGGAAAGCAAAAATTCTTTAATTCAACAAATGCTTTCAACAATAAAATGTGAAAATAGCTTTAATGAAGTAAGGTTTGAAAAGTGGACAAATAGCCCGAAAATATTATGAAAAATTATTATTTTGTGATGTT